GAGGGGCAGAGCCAGCAGCTGGCAGAGCAGGGTTGTGCAGGAAAATTCAGCCAGGCACGTGGTGGTGATTGGCAGATCCCAGGTATGGGGTTGGAACGGGCAGACCCAGTGAGGGCACAAAGTGGCTGGCTGAACGCAGTCACACATTCGTGCACAGATAAACCAGGCAAAGGAGCAAGCAGTGAGTCGGACCTCGCAGGCCCCAGTGGCAGGAAGCAGCAGAGGGGACCACTATTGCCCCTCTTTGACCCTGCCCCCACATAGCATCATAACCCAGCGGCTGAGTTGGCCAACCCTGGGGAACACCTAGGGCTCTGCCCCTCATACCTAACAGATGCGAACAGATCAAATTATTATGGCTCAAGAAGAACTCAAAGCTCCAGAGCCAATAACTCTAAGCGACCAAGAAATAGCAAAACTTTCAGTTGCACAGTTCAAAACACTGGTGATCAGGATACTCACAGAACTGGTTGATTTTAGTCACAAATTAGAGGAACAAATGAAGGCTAAACTAATTGAAATGAAGGGAAATGCACAGGAAACCAACAGTGATGGAAAGTAAACTGGGACTCAAGGGAGCAGACCAGAAGGAAGAAAAATGACTAAACAGAAAAGGATGAAGAAACAAGAATCCAAAAAAATGAGAGGCTTAGGAGCCTCTAGGACATCTTTAAATGTTCCAACATTCGAATTATAGAGGTATCAGAAGAGAAGAGGAACAGCAGCAAGTGGAAAACTTATTTGAACAAATAATAAAGGAGAACTTCCTAATCTGGCAAAGGAAATAGACTTCCAGGAAATCCAGGAAGCTCAGAGAGTCCCAAAGAAATTGGACCCAAGAAGGAACACACCAAGGCACATCATCATTACATTAGCCAAGATTAAAATGAAGGAGAGAATCCTAGAAGCAGCAAGAGATAAGGGGACAGTCACCTACAAAGGAGCTCCCATCAGACTGTCAGCTGATTTCTCAAAAGAGACCATACAGGCAAGAAGGGGCTGGAAAGAAGTATTCCAAGTCATGAAATCCAAAGACCTACATCCAAGATTGCTCTATCCAGCAAAGCTTTCATTTAGAATGGAAGGGCAGATAAAGTGCTTCTCAGATAAGGTCGAATTCAAGGACTACATCATCACCAAGCCCTTATTATATGAAATGCTAAAGGGACTTATCTAAGAAAAAGAAGATAAAAAAGATGAACAGTGAAAGGACAGCAAACTCACAGTTATTAACAACCACACCTAAAACAAAAACAAACTAAGAGGACAGCTAGATCAGGAGCAGAACCATAGAAATGAAGATCACATGGAGGGTTAGCAACAGGGGAGTGGGAGGAGGAGAAGAGGGGAGAAGGTACAGAGAATAAGTAGCATAGATGGTAGGTAGAAAATAGATAGGGGGGAAGGCAAGAATAGTATGGGAAATATTGAATCTAAAGAACTTGAGACGTGGACATAAACTAAAGGGGGAATGGTGGGGGAGGGGATGTGCAGGGTGGAGGGGAATGAAGGGGGGGAATAGGACAACTGTAATGGCATAATGAAAATATATTTTTTTTAAAAAACCTAGCCCTGGCTGGTGTAGCTCAGTGGATTGAGCGCAGGCCTGCGAATCACACAATTGTGGTTCAATTCCCAGTCAGGGCACATGCCTGGGTTGCAGGCCAGTTCCCAGCAGAGGACATAGGAGAGGCAACCATACATTGATATTTCTCTCCCTCTTTCCTTCCCTTCCCCTCTAAAGATAAATAAATAAAATCTTAAAAAAAAAAAAACTAGTATATGCAACTCAAAAAGTAGTAAAAGAAACTCAGATCCCCTAATTGATAAATTGCATATTTCATATATTTTCCAAAAAATATATATTACTTAAATGTATATTAAGCCCAGTAGTGTCAGACAATGCAAATTAATATAGTTATATTTCTTGACTCTCAAAAATAGCCAAGATATAAAAGTACCAAATCCTAGTAAGGATGAATCCTTTTTCTTATACTGAGGACTATATCTAATCTACATGATAAGATTGTCATCGGTTCCTTTCTGTTGTGTTGGCCAAAAAGTACATTTAGTTTTTCTCGTAAAATAAAGGACATATTTTTCATTTTCACCTATAACCTTATTGATTTGGATATTTTGAGTATGTCAGCCATCTCCCACTATTGGCTTCTAGTGGTTAACAGCCAGGGGTGCTGCTGAACATCCTTTTTTTTTTAAGGTTTTATTTATTTAATTTTAGAGGGGGGGAAGGGAGAGGAAAACATCAATGTGTAGTTGCCTCTCACATGCCTCCTTACTGGGAACCTGGCCTGCAACCCAGGCATGTGTCCTTGACTGGGAATTGAACCGGCAGCCTTTTGGTTCACAGGCCTAAGCTCAATCCACTGAGCTATGCCAGCCAGGGCTGCGAAACATCTTTGAATGCATAAGACAGCCTCACAGCAAAGAATTATTTGGCCATAGTGTCAATAGTACCAAATGCTTTGTAAACCACTTTTGGTATGTTCAGTCAGTCATAGCACCTTCTTTATATATTACACAAATCTTAGTGTTTCGATTGCATTTTTACCTTTCTTGGAATATTAAAGCATAATACACCAAAAATGTTGTGTATCTTCTTCCATCTCCAGTATTAAAATGGCTGCACAAAAGAATTCAGTTTTGATTAAGTTTTTTTTAATGCATGATGATATGATGGCTGTCACAGTACAATCAACAAAAATATCTGCGATGAAGTTAATGACAACTAAGCACTACTAGAGCCATTATACAGAGAAAACTAAATGAACTTTTTGGCCAACCCAATATTAAAAGGAATGTCTTTAAGGAAAGCATAAATGATATGACTTAGAGATTAGGTGGGTGTCACAAAATTGTTCTTCTTCATTATGTTTTATATATTTCTTTAATAATTTTTTGCATCTTATTTAAATTAGTTAATCCAGTCATTTTGCACGTGTGTATTTGCATTGAGTTCCTTGAACTTAGAATCTTGTTTTATTATTCTTAATTTTTCCCTTGGAGCCCTGAACTGTCTTGTCCCAGTTGGTGTATGGAGGTGTTCTATTTTTGTTCCCAAGTCCCACGTCTGTTACTCTCTAGCCGGAATGACTGTTTTTAAGGAGGTTCCTCAGGATGCTTTAGCTTTCTATAGAGGGGTTTGGAAGTGAAGTTATCCTTGCTGTTTTCATTTGTAACTTAAAGATACTGACCTTACAGTTCTGGATATTGAAAGAAAAGGAAAATGTTAATTACGTTTATCTTAATTTTTCTGTGTTGAAAGTTACTAACCTTGACAGGTCTGGTTGTTGAAACAAAAGGAAAATATTAATTACATTTATCTTAATTTTTCTGTGTTTAGATATATCCTTCAGAGTTTGGAAAGGAGAGGATGAAGGAAGAGCAAGTTCAAGGACCAGTAGAATTATTAAGTATTCCTGAAGATGCCCCTGAAAAGGACTGGTATTAAATCACTATAGATAATTAAACCTTTTAAGTTCACGTTAGTAATTCAGAATTCTAGTCTCTTTAAAAGGTAGGGCTAAAGTTACACATGCCATTCAAAGTTAAAACAGCTTGCCGAGTAGATTAAAGAGTGTCAGAAGTGGCACACTATTCCAACAATATTTTGTGTGTGTATTTCTATTTTTGTATTCATGAAAATAATTATTATCTTTTTGGAGGAATATTGCTTTCCATATAAGTGGCATTGAAACTATTTACATTCAAATTACATAATTTGTCTAATCGAGTATTAAATACAAAAATAGAAGAGTAATAGATAAGTTCTTTGCCTCAATAATGTAAAAGAAAAAAAATAAGGCAGTTCTTAATTTTTTAAGAACCACTAGGTAGTTCTTAATTTTTTAGCTCCACTAGGTGGAGCTACAGGTACACTTAATGAAGATGATGGTTGAATACTGTAATATGGATGGCAGAAGAGAAAAGATGAAGACCCTCAAAGAATATGTTTCAGTTAAATGAAATTAAATTTATAACTATTTAGACTTGACAACATAGTTTCTTTGTAACTATTTCTAATGCTTTCCTACTATATTTTGTAATACAGTACTTGTCAATCAGTTTTTCTTGAGAAGGATATACATAGTACCAAAATTAACACACAAAAAATCACTGATTAAGAATTAAAATCATAGGTAAGCATATGTAATTCTTATACTCTCCTCTTCTAGATATCAAATTCCAAACAAAATACCTATTTTGTATTTGTCAAAGCAATAAATTGAACTGAAGTGTTTAATGTTCATAAAGGCAAAGTCATAAAGGACAGATTGGTATGGAAGTTGTAATATATTTTTCTCGAAATAATTGCATTTATTTTTTAAAGAGAGAGAGGTATGTGTGTTTCTGTATAAGTAATCTTAATGATTTTTTTCCCGTCTTAGGACCTCCAGAGAAAAATTGAGAGATTATCAATTTAAACGACTGAAGTATTATTATGCAGTAGTAGACTGTGATTCTCCTGAAACAGCCGCTAAAATTTATGAGGATTGTGATGGCCTGGAATTCGAAAGCAGTTGTTCATTTGTAGATCTAAGGTAATCCAGTGTGTGTTTTACCAATTTAATCTCGTAGTAAACATGATTACAAGAAAAAAAAATTAGAACTTGTAGTGCTCTGTGCTAATTTATATTCTAAAAGAGGATTTTTTGCTTTTGAATGAATTCTGTCTTATGGAACTTTACCCTTAAGAAAGAAAACTGGAATGAGAAAACAATATTTTGTATGAGCCACCCCACATTTATATTCTTTCAAACATGTTGGCTATGTTTTTAAGATGATGGGTTATGTGTAGTGATACTACTTTGGAACTGTCTTTTAGAAGTAGGAACCAGGTGAATTACTTTTATTTTAAAATAACATTAAAGTCGGGGGCAAAGGAATTTGCTAATAAACTGGTACTTTAAGATCCGAGCCGTCCAATACAGTAGCCACAAGTATATCTGGCTATTTAAATTTATTTAACTAAAAATTTTAAAGTACTTAGCTGGCAGGAGAGATACCATGATTGTAGAGGTAGTTTTCCTAGTGCAGGGCTTATCCTTTGCACTCAGGATATGCTGACCCTTGTAATTTCCTCAAACGTGGGAAACCTGACTGCATAATTTGTGGTAGTGGGAGACTGGGGGAAACATTTTTTTTCATTTTAAATCCATTTGCTTAGATATAGAATATTGCCATCAACATAGAAAGTTCTGTTGGCCCTGGCTGGTGAAGCTCAGTGGAGTCTAGATACAGTAAAAGGGAAAGTAACAAATCTGATGACATAAATGTATGTTTGGTCTCATGGACAGAAAGATGAAACACCATGCCCTGGCTGGTGTAGCTCAGTGGATTGAGCGAAGGCCTGAGAACCAAAGGATCGAGGTTCGACTCCCAGTCAGGGCACAGGCCTGGGTTGCAAGCCAGTTCCCATCAGGGGACTCACAAGGGGCAACCATACATTGGTATTTCTCTCCCTCTCTCCTCCCCTTCCCCTCTAAAGATAAATAAGTAAAATCTTTTTTTAAAAAAGAAAGAAAGTTCTATTGGCCAACACTGTTCTAATGCTGCTCAGTAAGTGAATGAATGGAATTGCTGACATTGTCTTTAGACTTGGACATTATTTTCACCATGTGCTCAGGCTTCCCTGACCCAGAGCTGAAAACTCTACCATTTTATCATTAGCCTAGTCCTTTGGAACCCAGTAAACCGTTCTACAGTGACACTTCTGTATGCAGGTTTGATAGAGGCTTTGTTCTCGAAATGAAATGTTCTGGGGAAAAGTGCATCAATTCATAGTCAGTTCCAAAAGTTGGAATTCAAAGGCATTCCAACTGATAGAAAAATACAAATAAATTTTCTAATTGATATTTTGGTGTAAGACTTTAGTGTGCTTAAGTATATAGCAAGAAGTTTATATCTCATGAGGCACCTATTTCCTTCTCTTTTCTGTTAACAATTTCAATAGGAGATGCTTGCTTTGAATGTTTACATAGTAATTACCAAACACTTGTTAGAATGTCATACTCTGCTTATTGTGAATTGATGTTAACATATTCTTTTCAGGATTGTTCTCTTCTTTGTTTCCTTTTTGGGACATTTCCATGCAGTGTTAGAATAAGCTCTGGCAAGTGCCTAGAAAATCAGATCAATGACCATGGAAAAATTTACATTCACTGTTTTATTTTGTCATGTATAAAAGAAAATAGAGTTTTCTACTGCCATCCTGTGATCTAGGGAAGCCTTTTCTCATCTGGCCCAAAATATAAAAGGATGCATATTAGTAACAGTTAAATATATTAATCTCAAAAAGCAAATTATTTGTTTCTCTTCTACTGAGTGGGTTCAAAACTATAGCTGGAGGAGGATGTTATGTAGATATAATGAACCTTAATTACCCATTCTTCCCGCCAAAAATCACTTTTGATGGAATATACAGCATGTACTTTCCTTGAGGAATTAAAATCTATGTAAGTTACGAAAGCCGAATATAGTAACCATGCATTATTTCTGCTTCCCCAGCACCCCCAATTCCTTCTTAGCCTAATGCCTAAGAATTGTATAACAATTATAATGGCTAATTTACATTTAACAGCTATCTATTTGTGGGGGGAAAATTTAAGATGAGATTGTTAGGATTATAAGTCTTGAAGATTCAGCTTAAGCTTTTCTGTATTTTTAGTAACACCTCATGTGTATGGTACTTTATATTCGGAAAACTTAACCATTAATAGTTTTGTTTGATCTTCAGAATATTATGTAGAAGTCTAATGACTATGCTAACAGGAGTCTAGGTCTTTTGAAACATCCCTCTTTTGAGGGATCCATGTGTGTTTACACCTGACTCATGTTAGCTGACTCCTAACACGGGGTTTCTACCTACACAGAGTTCACTTAAATTTAATGGAATTACTGATTTATAGTTTATGAATTGTAGAAATTTTGTGCCAAGGTTATTTCTAACATTGTTTGCCTCATCTACATGTGTGTTCTGTAGAAACTTTTATATGGCATGTGTAGTTTAAACTACAACTAATTAGAAGAGAATCTAAGCTGTGGTTGTTTATTACTCCAGCATATGTTTAAATAAATTTGTTTGTTTCTTAGGTTTATACCAGATGATACTACTTTTGATGATGAGCCCAAGGACGTAGCCTCAGAAGTGGATTTAACAGCATATAAACCAAAATATTTCACATCTTCTGCAATGGGAACATCAACGGTATTTCTTAACTTTTAAAAATGTGTAGCTGGACTTTATTTAAGACTTTGTATACCATTTACTATAGCATATTTAGAAATGGACAATATTCAAAAGTTTAATGCACAAGTACAAATAAAATGAGACACATTTATATTTGCATTCTTATCTACCACATCTGTTTGAACCTATTTACAGATTTTTGTTATGCTTTTAAGCCTAAGTCAGTTACCTATTTTTTTCTCGTCTCTCTTTTCCACATACTTCTAATCAACTAGATTTTTTACTAAGTAATATGCTAGTTATTAATAGTCTAGGGAATAATGGGAAGGAGGTAGTGGGAAGATAACCACAAATTCCAGTTAAAACAAAACTAAACAAAATTTAAAATAGGCACACATTTTTTCTGTTTTGTAGGTAGTATCCAAAATTGTAAGAATAATTGAAGAAGAATAATTCAGGACTACTATATACCACATTAATGCTGAATAACCCACAGTCAAAAGATTTCTGTTGAATTAGTTTATTATTCTGCTACATGCCATTTCCTTTCTCTGTGCCCCACCCCTCCTCCTTGTCTCCCATTAACTTTCTATCCACAACTGGACTCTGCAGCAGCAATGCAGTCTTCCCATTTCTTGTCACACACCATTGTTCTCTTCTGAGGATGGTCTGGTGGCAGAGAGAGGAACTTCTGTACCTTTCGCATGCATGCTGTGATGAGCACTGTGTGGCCTTCATTAGTTACCGGGTATAGTAATACCCTGCCATTATTTGTAAGTAAAGTCTAAAAGGTCCACTTGCTGCTGGGGAGTCAGGAGAGGGAGAAGAGAGTATGGGGGAGTAAGTGTTGACGGACAGAGATTTGATTTGGGGTGGTGAACACACAATAGAGTGCAGATTCTTTAGTAAGTAACATGTTGTGGACTTACACACCTGAAATCTGTATATTTTGTTAACCAGTGTCACCCCAGTAAATTCAATAGAAAGGAAAAAAGATTTAAAAACATAAAAGTAGAAACTAAAAAGGAAAAAATTAAAACATTAAAAAAAGAGAAAAGATTCAGTCACATAAAATGAAGTCATGTTATTTTTAAAATAAAAAGACCAGGGCAAGCCTGTCTAGCCAGCTAGTCTGGAGTTCCTGGGGTCTGGCTGTATTATCTGTATCTGTCCCAGTTCCAGCAGTGGTTTTGTGGTCATCAGCTCAAGCTCAATTATCAAGATAGGGATAATTCTGAATCCTGTGACCTGGTTAGAACCAAGACAATGGCAGCTGTTTTAAGGATCAGATTCCTTGGTTTATTAGTGCTCAATTTGTTGTCCTGATCTGGGGAGATTAACCTGAGGGGGGAAAACACAAGGAAGTAGGACCCTACTTGTGTATTGTCCTCATCCTGTGATGACAATAAAACCTCTAATAGAAGGACCCTGTTTGGGAACAGGGATTGTGTACAGAACAGGAGCCAGTCACCAGACCCATCACGTTATCGATGAATTCCTGTATCATACATAGGGTTTACTGTACTTCAGTCAATAGATGCTTTAATCATAGATGGTTCTTAATCTTTTTTGGAAAATAGACCTCACTGAGATTGTGCTAAAAGCTTCATCAACAGATTTCACTTAGTTTGTTGACCTGAACTACCTAGAACTTCAGGTGAAAAATTGCTTTCACTGATTCATAGTAATGCTAACTTTTCACTAGTGCATTTTTTTTTAATTTCTTTTCACCGCAATAATTCAAATACTGGTGAATTTTTACCTCTGTTAATGGAATACCTTAAATGTAGCAGAGAGTTAGGCAATGGGAGATACAAGTTAATTGAAATGATTGTTTCCACAAATAGAATACTTTTTACTAAGTGTGCCTATTATCTTTTTTAGCATGTCTTGACCTTTTTAGCTTACAATTAACATTAAAATTAGTGATAAATATTCTTTTAACAAGTTTGGATGGCTGACATTTTCATTTTCATTGTTTTTCCCTTTTCATTGGTGAAAGGTGGAGATTACTTGGGATGAGACTGATCATGAAAGAATTACAACTCTCAACAGGAAGTTTAAAAAGGAAGAACTTTTGGACATGGATTTTCAAGCTTATTTAGCTTCCTCTAGTGAAGATGAAGAGGAGATAGAAGATGGGCTGCAAGGTACTTGTTAATCTTCTGGTGTTCTACATTTCTAAGCATTTAAATGCCTAATCTAGATTTGTTAATGGAATTATGCTTTTGGTAGCAGCTTAAAAGGGAGTACCAAACTAAGTCTTAAGCTGTCCGCAAAGCATACTCCCATGTATTATAGACACCTTATAGTAATTGAAATTACTTAAAAATATTTTCTGAGCCTGAATTTCTTTACCCATAAGCACTTCCTTCAAAACTTTGACCTAACCAAAAAAGCCTGGCCTTGTAGACTTGTCATGGTTCACATAGTTATGCAATATCTTAAACCAGTAAAATGCTTTACTGTCACCCTTTTTTAAAACTAAGAACTTCTTTCAGATTAATCAAATATTTTTACATTCGACTTCTCAACTAGTTTAGAAACTAGACTTTTTGTTTATTTAGCAATTGTCCTAGAAATTATGACTTACATCCTTGTTAGAAAAGTCTAATGGTAATTAATTTTTTACTGTCCTCCATAATATAAGAAATCTTAAAACAACTTTCATATTATCTTGTGTATATTAATTCTAACTTTTTTTTGCAGTCCCAAAAAACATTAATAGTATGTTTTTGTACTTCTTTCTTTAAGTTTGCCCACATTTTCCCCACTTCTTTTCTTCTGCATTCTTTTCTAAATCTTTTATTTCTGAGATTATTTTCATTCTGCCTTAAGCAAATCCTTGATAATTTCCAGGAGTATCTGCTGGTGTCAGACTCTCTTTGAGTTTTAGTTTAGTTTAAAAATGTCTTTTTTTTTTCCTTCATTTGCGAAGATATTTTCACCAGTAAAG